AAAGCTGTTTATCCACTATATTTAGTTTGTAATTTCAACTCATAAATAACACTATTAGCTAAGAAGCATGGACTTTAGGAAGTTAAAATACATCCTGTGCTTTTAGCAAACTGTTTTAGCCATAGCATTAGCTAATAATTATGTTTGTAGTTGTGTACTTGGTTTTAGTGTCATTTGTGTATTTTAATCATGTATGCATTAACTGTTACCTTTGAGGTAACAGTTAACTCCTCTGCCTGAAGCTGTTTAGGACCACTGAACAGGTTGAATATTAATAGGGTGAGCTAATCTTTACATGTATCCTCTGGCTAATGCAAAAGTACACTGACCTAAATAAGACTACTTCACAGGCAGCTCATGTTTCAAACCACCTGCAGATACCTGTGCAGGTATCAGACATTAACACAGTCGTCTTAATGTTAAGACACAGACGATTTATGTTTTTGAACCTCTTTTTCTTAAATAGCAGTAATTTGGTACTCCCAGCACTGATAAACAATCGAGCTGATTCTCCTTTACTGTTGGTTGCACTGACCTGGAAATTCTGGCTGTTACAACAGTGTATCTTTGTGAATTGACTAAGGCTGTGTTTAATGTTTGCTTTGCTTTATTTGGTGTGTAACAAATACAGCCACGGTGTCCTGGACACATATAACTGTTGGTTTTTGAGTGGCTGCTGTGACATTTACAGCAAACATCTTATTTTCAGAGGCTGTTCTGTCAACACCTTGAGTCTAGTAGTACATATAACAGTGTGTTTGCTGAGTTGTTTACTGAGACATGCAGCATGACTCACTAAGAAATGTATTTAAAAGGTTGTCTTGGCAAAAACATTACAGCATTTACAGAATTCAACATATGAACAGGAATTAATATTTGTGTAAAACTGAGGATAGGTGAATGCAACGTCAGCAAATGAACTGATTTCACAATTTGTGGCATGATGATAATGATGCTTTGATGTACTTAAAATAAAGGCTGTAGATGCTGTGTAACTTCTAGGCATATAGTATTAGTACAAAATATTTGCATGGGCTTTGTGCCTAGAAAGAAATTAATTTTTAATTGAGAAATGTTCGGGTTTTTTTGTCTACCTACAAGCAGAAAACACATGTAATATTAAAAAAAACGACACACAATCGCCTTTAAGATTTACATTAGATCAGGAAGATTAAAGGCACAACCTTAGATTTCAGTAAAAAAAAGAAAAGATATTTATTTGTAATGTTAGTGCACAAAGCAATTAGAAACTCCAAGCAGCTACATTACTGCACCGAAACTGATGAAGTAGTCGAGAGCTGATGGAGAAACCAGATGGAAAATGGTCCATGCTACTATTTTTTGCAGACTTTGCACTGTAGCTCCAACAATGTGGGAAAAAGAATAATAAGGAAAATCAGAGCAGGAAAAATTTGCTAAATAGTGCAAAAAAGAAAGCTCTGCTTTCTTAAAGATTAAAATCCAGTCAAATATATGGGACATCTGAGGCTCAGGGCCGTTAGTCTGACAAACAATCAGCCGTGCAAATGTGCTGAAAATGTGCTTCTGTTAAAGCCATTTAACAAAGTCAGCTGATGTCAGCCACTACACTGCATTTCACTTGCAAATCTCTGAAACTAGAAATAAAGAGCAAAGCTAACGACCTTACCTTGGCTGCTGATGAGGTGCTGTTCATACTGACCACTGCTGATGAAGCAGCCACTGGACAGAAAAGAGCACCATAAGGATATAGGATGCTCTTATAACCTTTGAAACAGATCATTCTCAATCCAGATGAACTTGTGATTTATTTTTATCATCCTTTATTTATCCAGATAAAAGCCTCATCAAGATTAAAAACTATTTTTCAAGAGAGACCTGGTCAAGCCAGAGGGAGCGGGACTTTGTTAGTGCAGCGGAATAAATTTTAGAAGTAAACGACACACAGTCGTGCTTTTTAACATGTGAGTGTGCTGCTTACTCAGTGCACAAAATGTAGCCGTCCTTAGCACATCTATCTGTGCAATCACATGAAATATGTTAATGCATTTTTGCTTTTGTGCAATTTTTTTGCTATATTCAATAAGACTGTATAATATGTCCCTTAACTAAGAGTCTAATTCATTTAGAATTAAATGGAATTTCAATGTTTTTCACCTAAAATTCCAGCATAATTAAATTCACCTGGTAATAAAAATAATTCTAGGTAGTGCATAACTACTAGGAATTTTAAAGGAAGTGAGACACAAATTAGACTGTAAGTTATATTAGGAAGTGCTATAAAAATCCAAATTCCAAACTAAAGTTTCCTGATTAGACGACGTGCTGACAGGCAGTTTTGTTGATGAGTCAGCTCATCATTGGTCATCAGCTCATCACTGACCCTCATTGGTCAGCTGTGGGTCTAACTGTATGTGATGACGCTGATGCTTCCCGGGTGATGAGTAAATTCCAGTCTCAAGGGCAAAGACATGATATCTGAGTGAATCAATCAGTTCTGCTAAACCGAGCACAGAATCCACCTCCTTCAGCAGGTTATAGAGCAGTTATAGGACACAGACACACACACACAC